GATCCATCACATAAAATTCAGATTAATAAAACATTGAATTTAAGGCTGTAATGTAACAAAACATAAAAAATGCCTAGGGGGTAAATACTTTTGCAAGGCACTGTAGCAACACCCTAAACCCTTTGTCATGTTCCTCAAACTATTCCTGAATAATTTTTGCAGTGTGGCAGGGTTCATTATCCTGCTGAAAGAGGCCATCAGGGAACATAATTGCCTTGAAGGGGTGCACATGGTCTGCAACAATCTCTAGCCAGTACTGGCTGCGGTAGGTGTCCACAGGCAGTTGAAATTCTAAAATTCATTTATTAAGCACTGTATTTGCTGTAATATTTTATTGTTATATTACAAGGACTTTGTGTGGTAGTGTATATATATTTGTGTATTACAAATTGCTTTTTATATGTCCAACTTTTAATTTTCCAATAAATAAATTTTTGAAATTCATCTGCCTGTTTTGCCTGTGGACACCTACTGAAGCCAGTACTGGCACCCTGAGGCTATTTACATGGAGCCTGACACGGCTCCATACTTGTGAGTGAAACCATAAAATCATAAAAAGATTAGAGAATTACTGTATACAAGCTTCGTGGGATTATGAAATGGGAAAGGGAGCGGAGCACAGAATTTGTATCCAGTGAATGGGTTACTGCTTTAAATCTGACAAAAAAAAAAAACAACTATTCATAGTATTTCGTTGTTTGAAAATGATCTAAACATTTTACACAGATGGCATATGACACCAGACAGGATAAGTAAGTTTCAACCCAACATTAATGATCTTTGTTGGAGATGCGAGAGAGAGAAACTGGAACTATACGGCATATATGGTGGGAATGTACCTGCCTATTACCTTTGAAGGTCAAGTTAGAAAATGTACTTACAAACCTACAAGTTTAGCAGTCCCATATTGAACTGACCCCTGTTTTGTCAGATGTGGTAAAGATGTAACTGAAGGTAATGGTAATGGTATCCTATGCATACAGTTACAAAAAAGCATCCTGATGCAGGAACGCATGGGAACGGCGTTCCTGCACTTTTTCCAAAGCAGAAACGCCATTCCCGCTAGTGATCCTGCAGGACCTGCCCTTCTACCTGCACACGGGGGCCCAGCACACTCTGTGTTCCCTCTCCAGCTGCTCACATTCGCGAGACCCGCGGCCATCAGAGCTTTGCCATGGGTTACCATGGCAACGCTCCACACAGCACGCAGGCGAGTCTCACGAGAGTTAGAGCTGGAGAGGGAACACAGAGTGTACTGGGCCCCAGTGTGCAGCGGCTGGCTCCCTCCATCGGACCACCAGGCAATCTCCCCCTCCCTGACAAGGTAAGAAGCAGGGGTGAATAAAATAAAATATGCACATACACAAATAAAAAAATGCTTCCTCCCAACACACACACACACACCACATTCACTATACACACTCTGCACTCATTACAAAGACACTACATTCATTATACACACTGCACTTACTACAAACACACTACATTCATTATACACACTCTGCACTCACTACAAACACAGTACATTTATTATACACACTGCACTCACTACAAACACTATACATTCATTATACACAATCAGCATTCACTACAAACAGTACATTCATTGTACACACTGCACTCACTACAAACACAGCAAAAAAAGGAGAACGGTTGATCCCAAATGCACAAGGCTATGGGAGCGACCGAATGGAGAGATCTATGGGTCTGCACTAGAAAATTACTTAAAATAAAAGTCTTTTATTATAGGGTAAAAAAATCCCCAAAAGAAAGGAAACTTACAAAAAACAACACTTCAAAACTAAAACACACAGGAGAGGATTCGGACTGGAGGCAGTATAATAATGATAGGAAAATACTATCGATTCAGGGAATCCAAGTAAAGGTAGAGAGATGTATAGGTATATATAAATGTCAGTAACTCTCTTAGGTATATAGCCCTGAGTAATCGTAGTATAATCAAAAGAGGAAAAAGTAGAAGTAATAAATAACTTGGCTATATATAGTAAAGAGATGGGTGTTGAGAGAAAAGTGGAAATGAAGGGATACATGGGGAGAACCAAAATAGCGAGCCCCAGATATCAACAACTTGCGATCGGGAAGCTAAAAGTTGTGAGAAAGATGTATGAAATGAATCCCCTATTACTGTATCCTTTACTAAATAATGCTACTAGAAGTTGTGAGTCAACTATAGATTGTTAGTGGGAACCCGCTCAATATCATACAGATGAGAGAGTACTCATATATATACAGCATATAGATCCAGGTATCTCAAATCCTGTGTCTTAACTGATAGCTTTGGTCTACAGTTGCAAACAAAATAAATTTTGCTCAGTGGTGTGCAACTAAGACAGGAGGCAATATTGTGAATATTGGGGACCCGCTCAATATCATGCGGATGATACACTTTGCAAGTCACACACCTTTTTTATTTTATATATTTATACCCAATTAGGGATTCAATAAAGTTGTAACAATTTATTTTCTTTGGGTTTTACAATTTCAGGCAATTCTTTACTTTATATTAAAACCTCTTTCGGGGACTGTTTTCTGGCTTGCCTCTTTTGTGTAGGTCCTCCTCAGCCCTTATTATCCTTTACATTGGGTTATGCCCATAATACCGTACAACCCAATACAACTTCGGTGAGGAGAACGTTCCTCAACTGACGCTGTATATTCCTCTGTAGTGCAGTCAACCTCCTGTGCTTGATAACATAGCTGCAGAAACCGTTATAGAGAGTGTAAAACACAGTGCTGTTCCAATCCTTCATGTGTCTGCATGAGAGGCTGGACAGGAATAGGAAGGGATCACTTCCCATCTGCCCACTAACAATCTTTCATACAGGAAATGCCTTGCAGGAGGAGCTGGGACAGCACCAAGTGACTTCATGCATATCTGTTATTAATTATAGGAGACTCCCTTTTCCTAAACAAACCTTTTCCTTAGCCCCGTATTTAACCCCTTAAGACCGGAGGGCGTACTATTACGCCCTATTTTAGGCGGCTCTAAACGCCGCCGGGCGAAATAGTACGCCCTCTGGTCTTTCATTATTTACCTGGTCGCCGGCGATCGTGGTTGGGGGACTCCCACGGAGCTGCCCCGCAGCAGATCTTGCTCCTGGCAGCCACCCCGGCCATGTGAGAGTGAGGTCCTTGTGAGGACCTCACAATCACATGGCCGGGATAGCTGGCTGCAGCATTGCCAGCAGGGGGACTGCCTGTAATGACAGTTAGTCCCCCTGCTGGCTGGAAATAAAATAAAATTAATAAAAGTTAAAAAGCGTAAAAAATAAATAAATATATACTTAGATTATATATATATATATATATATATATATATATATATATATATATACACACACACACACACACATATACACACATATATACACACACATACATACATACACATATACACACACACATGCATGCATACAAACACATACACTGTCTAGGTGTATTTTACTATTATTGATTAAATATATATAATTATTGTTATATATAATAAAAAAAATTTATATGTAAATACGTTAAAAAATAAAATTAAAAATAAATATATAGATGTGTGTTATTTCATTCTAACTGTATTGTGATAATATATATTTATATCAAAAGTAGCACAAATGCCAGGTTTTGTTTACATTTTGTTTCGTTCACAACGTGTACATTTGGCTCCGTCCTTAAGGGGTTAAAAAACGTAGAGCCTAAACATGCAAAACCGTTTATATTAAGCACATCTTAAACACCCCATGTGGCGAGATCCTGCTTACATCGCATTGGAGCAATAGGCAATTTAATGCTTTTTTAAAAATGACTGTAGTAAATCACACTGCATAACAGCCTATGGGTATTTAAACACCCATTTAAAGAGCAGTATCCAGCTCATGTGTCAGTCTGGGGAAACTAAAGAAAAAAAATACAAAAAAACACCAAGGATAGAGGACTACCAGTGAGTAGGAACCACCTTCCATTGGACCACCAGGGATCATATCCCCATGACTTACAAAATGCAAGCATTAAAAGGACCACTGTACGCACCCAGACCACTTCAGCTTAATGAAGTGGTCTGGGTGCCTGGTCCAGCTAGGTTTAACCTTTTTTTGCTGTAAACATAGCAGTTTCAGAAAAACTGCTATGTTTACCTATGGGTTAATCCAGCCTCTGGTGGCTGTCTCATTTACAGCCGCTAGAGGCGCTTTTCACTGTGATTTTCACAGTCAGAAGGCGCTTGCGTCCATAGGAAAGCATTGAGAATGCTTTCCTATGGACTGGATGAATACGTGCGGCTCTGGCCGCGAATGCTCATTCAGCCGATGAAGGAAGAAGAGGGAGGAGAGTCCCAGCGCTGAGGTAGCCCGACGCTGGAAAAAAGGTAAGGGTTTAAACCCCTTCCTCCCCCTTCAGCGCCACGGGAGTGGGGGTACCCTCAGGGCACTATAGTGCCAGGAAAACTAGTATGTTTTCCTGGCACTATAGTGGTCCTTTAATGGAGTTACTCAAATCACATACAGCCAGCACACACAGCCAGGACAGACCAAGCAACGTGAGCAGTCACCGCGCAGCACACACCGCAAGAGAGAGACTGTAGGAGGGCATAGAGTTAAACACTTAGACCACTTGTAATAATAGCAACATCTTATAAAGTATTGTGGAGAAATTACAAGGGACATTCAAGCCAAAATAGCTGACGGAGACTTTTTAGTTAAGCGTGCCTTTTTCTGGGTGACACCATGCTGGAGAGGGAAAAGTTTTCAGGTTTGTATTTAAATTATACATTTGGTGGAAAATTAACCAGCATGTTTAGCTTGAAAATGGTGACACTTGCTCTTTGTGTACTAGAATAAAATTTGAATAGTCAGCAAGATGGCCTTTGCAATTTTAGTTTAGTTTAATGTTGAACGCCAGTTACACACTCCTTTTGTTGTGTGTGTATATTCTCGACTTCCAATTCAGACTCTTGCTGACACTTCTCGTATGCGGTCTTCCATACTGAATGACCGGTTAAATGTTGTGATCTCTCCAGACAGTATCAGAAAAATGTGAGGTGTATAAAAGGCAAATCCCTAAAAGATTTCCAGAAGAATGCACATTGGTCAGTATCTGTAAACTAAAGCTGCAATTAATAAAATCTAATCAAAAAGAGTTTAAAATCTTGCACTAAGGATGTGACTTTACAGAAAAAATGAAAGAAAAACACTTAGCAATTACACATTCTTTATTACAATTTTAAATATATTTACAAAAATGTATTTTAAAAAAAATGTAAAAAGTTAAATATCTGGCGTTGGATGAACTATATTACACTTAACATTTGTGATCTGCAAATTAAAGCGGCATTGTCATCCCCCTTGAAAAATTAGTACTTTGTAAGGATAGAATCTTTATGAAATACTCATTTTGATCATATTGCAGTTTCACTGAAATTACAATTCAATTAACAGATATACTTAGACAAAGTAGGGACTACTTTGTCTCTGTATATTTCCTCTGCCTGATTCTTCTAGACATTGGGTGAAGCTAATGCCATCTAAAAGTGTCAATTCACCAGGAGCTGAAGAGGACGCTTGAGCACGAGCCAGAGTACAGTACTGATTTTGGCTCCTGGATCCGAAGCGCCAGGAGCAGAAGAGGACTCTCACGCATGCGCAAGAGTACAGCAGTGACGTTGGCTCCTGAAGCTGAAGAGAACCCGCTGGAAAAATATGGCTACACAGGTGAGGGGCAGATTTAGAACCCAACTTTACCGGCCCCCTCCCAAACTCTGAATTCTGCATTGTGCTTAGATAGTGCCGTTTATAAAACAACAAAAAAATCAGACTATATGAAAAAGTGGATGGTTTAAAGCTTCTTCTGCAGTGATCCTTGTAGCTGGATTCATATCAAGAAGTCTATCTAACAGATGATATGCCTCATCAGGAACTCTGTCCCACCCATTCATATTGGATTGTTCAATGTCCATGCTTTCTGCCTGGGATTCATGTTTGTGAGTGGAACCTGGAAGAGATGCAGTATGTGTGTCATGGTCAAACCACCCATCTTCCTTCTCCAGTATTTGAATTTGTAACTCAGCACGCATCCTTTGTAGTTCATCTTGTTCGGCAAATTGCATGGAGGCTGAGCACACATTTCTTAAACTTTCACACAAAGTTCGTAAATTCTTTGCAGGGAGTTCTTTGCTACAGGTAATGGTTTTACCTAAAATAAAGAACACAAATGTTAAGTCATAAACATAGAGCCATCTTCTAGATCAGTGGTTCCCAACCTTTTTTCATTTAAGTACCCCATGGCAGCCCATTTCCATAAATTGTACCCCTCATATCAGTGAAATGTTTTTTATTAATATAGTTTATTATTAATATAGTTGCAGTTATTTCAAGTTTATATGCTTTTCTCTGCCCCAGACTCCCTTTGCCCTGTGCTCTCCCTGTTCCTCCTGTGCCCCAGGCACTCACTTCTCCTCCAAGCTCCCCCTGCTACTCACTTTGGTGATAGACACACTGACACAAATGCAGATACACAGATACAAACACCGATGCAGATATACAAAAATCACACAAAAACACAGATGCACAGACACAGATACAAACACTGACACACAGATCCAAGATATGACACACTCACAGAGATACAGATACACACATGCAAATACATACACACAGTGTCACAGATGCAAACAATGATACTGATGGACAGATATATAGATACAAATACTGACACACGTACAGATTTACAGACACACAGATCCCTCTGTTGAGCGATCACATGGCTGTGGGGTCCTAATTCGCTATGGGGAGACTGCCTGGGCTGTCAGGCAGTCTCCCCACACCGGGAGCAACAGCGATTGCCGCCAGGGGAACGACGGCGATTAGGTAAGTACATAATACCGTTATGACGGTTCAGGACTGTTACCGGTCCTCAAGGGGATTTTTCCAATGACTGTCCTGAACCGTCAACGATCGTGAAGGTGTTAAGGACTGAACCAAATGTACACGTTTTGATTAAAATAAAACGTAAACAAAACATGGAATTTGACTACATGTCTGTTAAACCATAATTCACCTATTTTGTATTAAAGGGACACTATAGTCACCTAAACAACTTTAGGTTAATGAAGCAGTTTTGGTGTATAGAACATGCCCCTGCAGCCTCACTGCTCAATCCTCTGCCATTTAGGAGTTAAATCCCTTTGTTTATGAACCCTAGTCACACCTCCCTGCATGTGACTTGCACAGCCTTCCATAAACACTTCCTGTAAAGAGAGCCCTATTTAGGCTTTCTTTATTGCAAGTTCTGTTTAATTAAGATTTTCTTATCACCTGCTGTTTTAACCCCTTAAGGACGGAGCCAAATGTACACGTTGTGAACAAAACAAAATGTAAACAAAACCTGGCATTTGCGCTACATGTCTGTCCAACCGTAATTCACCTCTTTCATAGTAAATGCACCTACCCTTATTATATATCATTTTATTCAGGGGAAACAGGGCTTTCATTTAATATCAAATATTTAGCTATGAAACATAATTTAATGTGAAAAAAATGGGAGAAAATACGATTTATTTGGATTTTTTTAGTTCTACGTGACATTTTAACGGTCAGTGTCATAATACTGTTTGCTTTTACTGCAATAAAATACACATATTTGTATTCAGCAAAGTCTCACGTGTAAAACAGTACCCCCTATGTACAGGTTTTATGGCGTTTTGGGAAGTTACAGGGTCAAATATAGCACGCTACATTTGAAATTGAAATTCGCCAGATTGGTTATGTTGCCTTTGAGACTGTATAGTAGCCCGGGAATGAAATTTACACCCATAATGGCATACCATTTGCAATAGTAGACAACCCAAGGTATTGCAAATGGGGTATGTCCAGTCTTTTTTAGTAGCCATTTGGTCACAAACACTGGCCAAAGTTAGCGTTAGTATTTGTTTGTGTGTGAAAAATGCAAAAACGCCAATTTTGGCCAGTGTTTGTGACTAAGTGGCTACTAAAAAAGACTGGACATACCCTGTTTGCAATACCTTGGGTTGTCTACTACTGCAAATGGTATGCCATCATAGGGTAATTTTCATTCTTGGGCTACCATAGGGTCTCAAAGGCAACGTAACCAATCTGGCTAATTTTAATGTGAAAAAAATGAAACACAAGCCTTATATTTGACGCTGTTACTTTTTAAAACACCATAAAACCTGTACATGAGGGGTACTGTTGTACTCGGGAGACTTCGCTGAACACAAATATTTGTGTTTCAAAACAGTAAAAAGTATCATAGCAATAATATTGTCCGTTTAATGCTGTTTGTGCGTGAAAAATGCAAAAAACGTCACTTTTACTGGCGATATCATCGTCGTAATACATTTTACTGTTTTGAAACACTAATATTTGTGTTCAGCGAAGTCTCCCGAGTAGAACAGTACCCCCCATGTACAGGTTTTATGGTGTCTCGGAAAGTTATAGGGTTAAATATAGTGCTAGCAAATTAAATTCCCTTTACTTTCGGCATGTGTTGTCATGCAGGTCCTGCTAATTGTAATTAATTAAGATACCTAATTATGTAAAAATATTACATAAATATATATGTAGAATCAATATATGTATATATATACGTATGTGTATATATATGTATATATCTATATAATTTTTAAAAAATATTTTTATTTATATATAGGTATATATAGTGATATATACACGTATATATTTATGTGTATAAATATATATATTATTTCGTTCTATGTGTATTTTGATATATATATATATATATATATATATATTAATTTCACAATACAGTTAGAACGAAATAACACACATCTATATATTTTTTAATTATTTATTTTTAATTATTTTTGTAATTTTATTTTTTAACGTATTTACATTTTAATTTTTTTTATAATATATATAAATATATATATAACAATAATTATATATATATTTAATCAGTATCAGTGTACGTGTAATTTGATATTAATATATATATATAATTATATATATATTAATAGTAAAATACACCTAGACGGTGTACATGTGTGTATGTATATGTGTATATATATACTTTGATCATATATATATAATATATATATATGATCTAAGTATATATAATTTTATTTTTTTACACTTTTAACTTATTTTACTTTTATTTTCAGCCAGCAGGGGGACCCCCTGTAATTACAGGCAGCCCCCCTGCTGGCAATACAGAAGCCAGCTATACCCGGCCATGTGATTGTGGGGTCCTCGCTAGGACCCCACTCTCACACGGCCGGGGGGCTTCCTGGAGGACGGTCGTGCCGCGGGGGGCTCCCTGGGAGTCCCCCCCACCGCGATCGCCGGCGTGGGACCGCCGGCGACCGGGTAAGTACAGAAAGACCGGAGGGCGTACTATTACGCCCGGCGGCGTTTAGAGCCGCCTATTAGAGGACGTAATAGTACGCCCTCCGGTCTTAAGGGGTTAATAGATTGCTAGACCCTGCAAGAGCCTCCTGTATGTGATTAAAATTCAATTTAGAGATTGAGATACAATTATTTAAGGTAAATTACATCTGTTTGAAAGTGAAACCAGTTTTTTTTTCATGCAGGCTCTGTCAATCATAGATAGGGGAGGTGTGGCTAGGGCTGCATAAACAGAAACAAAGTGATTTAACTTCTAAATGACAGTGAACTGAGCAGTGAAATTGCAGGGGAATGATCTATACACTAAAACTGCTTTATTTAGCTAAAGTAATTTAGGTGACTATAGTGTTCCTTTAAGCACACCCACACTTATTATATATCATTTTATTCAGGTGAAATAGGGCTTTCATTTAACAAAATATTTAGCAATGAAACAATTTAATATAACTAAAAAAAAATTGAGAAATTAAGAAATTGTTATTTTTAGTTCTGCATGGCTTTTTTTTTTTGATTCTTTATTTTTGTGTTGCAATTATTTTACACATGCTTTTGCAATGCCACAACAGCGGTATCAAGAATAGTAAAGAACATACAGGTACATGGTGTATGATTACCGCACACATTTTTAGAATTAGTAAATTAAGCAGCAGAGTCACAGGCTTATCCAACAAGTCTAAATTATTTGTAGTGAGTCATCTTCATGTATTATCCATGGATGATCATGCTAAAGTAAGTTGTATACTAGGCTTTTACATCAGTGAAATGATTAGGAAAACCAAGGAGTGATGCATGTACAGTGCTCGTTATACTGACTAGGTGCATTAAGTAAGTGTTTCGCAAGCTTAAACTAAACTGACAAACAAAAGTTGTACACCATATTAATTAGAAATGTTTAAATCTGGAATGATAGATTATTGTGATGCCACGGCATCGTCAGACAGGATTGGTTTCACCGCAGGTAGCCTCTGGTGGTGAGAGCAGAGGGGATGGGTGGCGGAAAGGCCGCGACCGGGTAAGGAGCGATTAGTGCTCTCCAGGTAGATTTAGTCCCAGGGTCAGCCCGTGCCACCCCAGCCCTTGCCATCTCTCATAGCCGGATCGGTCAGTCTTGGGTCGAGGCTAGGACAGGGCCGGAGCAGTATGTTTCACTGTTGTGCTACAGCCGCTGCATTCTGTGTGCTGGAGGGGTTGAGTAAGGTTTCTCGGCGCCGCATGTCCTGGGGCACTCCCCTCTGATTGTCATTGTGAGTTTATTGCCACCGTCCTTTTCAGCTTCCGTCACTCAGTCGCTGTACAGAGCCATTCCTGGCCTGTTTGCTGCCCGCTGCTCTGGTTTGTGAGGCAGCGTTGTTTGCATGGGACGTCGTGGTGTGGACTTCCGCCATTTTAGGTATGCAGAGTGTTGTTGCTTCCTCCCGCCTGTGTACCGTGACAGGCTTGTGCAGATGCCGTGGTGGACCGTGATGACCCCCGACGGTCCAAAGGGGGAGGGGAGGGTCTGCAGGACTTGGAGACCGGCCGCATCCCCCGCCCCGCATCAACTGCTAGGCCGCAAGGACCTGCCTCGGCTAGTGCGTCCGAAAAGTCCATGATGCCCCAGTCTCGTCCCCAAGAGGGCTCCGTGGGGTGGGTAAGTGTGGAACCCGGTTAGCTCGTCACGTGTAAAACAGTACGCCCTATGTACAGGTTTTATGGTGTTTTGGGAAGTTACAGAGTCAAATATAGCAGGTTACATTTTTCTTTTTTTTTTTTCACATTGAAATGTGTCAGATTTGTTACGTTGCCTTTGAGACCGTATGGTAGCCCAGGAACGAGAATTACCCCTATGATGGCATACCATTTGCAATAGTAGACAACCCAAAGTATTGCAAATGGGGTATGTCCAGTCTTTTTTAGTAGCCACTTAGTCACAAACACTGGCCAAATTTAGCATTAATATTGGTTTGTGTGTGAAAAATGCAAAAAAAACAAATTTGAACCCCAATTTTGGCCAGTGTTTGTGACTAAGTGGCTATTCCCCCTGCTAGCATTGCTATGGACGGCTACTCCATCCTTGTGATCGTGAGGTCCTCACAAGGACCTCGCGATCACATGGCCCAAAAGGGCCGGATCAGCCAGGTAAGTCCCCATCACGATCGCTGGTGATCAGGTAAGTCCCCTGGATGGCGTGGAGGTGCTATGCTGCCTGCTGGCGTTTAGAGCTGGGTCCTCAAGGACGGAATAGCACACCCGGCATCTCTAAAGGGGTTAATGTAGAATGAAAATAAGAGTGTTTCTTATAAGACTGTCTTTATATTGTTTTTATGAAAGAAAGAACTGGGCTCAAGCTGTGCCTTTACAGCAAGGAATATCATGCACAAAATACACAGCATACTTTAAAGGAAATGTTTAGTTAGCTACTGATAATGCAAATACTCACAAATGTAGTCTCATACAAACAACAACTAAAGTGCATTTGGTAGGCTTAGACTTAAATTCATACGGTGTTTTAGCAGCTCAGCCAATTATTGGCCTCCTATTATCTGTATAGTTGCAAAACAATACTAAGGGGAATTGGAAGAGAAGAGGATTGTGAAAGGGGTGGGGGGTCATATCAGCATTTTAGCGCACACTGGTGTCTACTTACAGAGGTTGATATATACATAGTACTTCTAACGTAGAAGTTACTTTGTGAAACTAGATGGTTTGGCTAAGGGGGCATGGTTATGTGTACAAAGTTCTAGTGTCTTATATTAAAAAAAGTGTCACAAAAGGAACCTGACGGGGGCGGAGCCTGACTGCGAGACGGGCTAGACACCATTTCTGAGAGCGCCTTCCCGGCGAGCAAAATCCGCTGTAAATCAAACAAACAGACCCCATCCAAACTTGAAAGCAGCGGGTACAGATCGGGGACATCCCGAGGCACCGACAGATGCCTTTTCAATATACCCAGAGGCAGACCAAACTGAAAAAGAAGACCGGGGCCTACTTCACGCTGACCTCGAGGCACTATTTGGCGGAGCGGGCGCACATAAGGCAGCTGAGACCCCGGCTTACCCGGCAACAACTCTCCACAGTCCTACACCAGCAATGGGGCAACGCTCACAGAGACCTCAAACTTCCCAGGCAACGGACCAGCAGGACATTGGAACTCTCCTACAACGGCAGGTACCATCCAAAATGGCGTCCGCTAATGGCCCTGATCCCCATGCAACCCCTGACATGCCAAGCCAGACACACATCCCAGCAACACAGGGGGACCCACACTCCATGACTGGGGACATCCCTGGAGGCACAGCCCCTGCCACTTAGCAGGATCTCCACAATATGCAAAATACCTTGCTGGAAATACAGAGGCTCTTAACTGCAGACATGTCCTCCCTGAAATCTAACATGCAGCAGCGCAGTGACAGGACAACCCACACCGAAGGGGACATTGGGAAACTTCAAAATGAAGTAGCTGAACTGAAAACCGCAATGGTCCACTTAAAAACTACACAACAGGCTATGTCAATTCAAATGACGGCACATGAGGATAGACATCGTCGTAATAACCTAAAAATCTGCGAGATCGATGCAGAGGAACTACCTCACTACACAAGAAGACTGATTGCATCATTATTACCGCCAGCGCTAGCCAAAAAATTCACTATCAGTGGACTGTACAGACTGCCCACCATCACTAAGACGGCAGCCTCAATCACTGGTGACGTCATCCTCCGATGCAATAAATTACAAGATAAGGGCCAGATCATGGCAGCAGTGAGGGATAAAACCCCATTACCATTTGAAGGATCGCACCTAACCCTCTACCAGGACCTCACTAAAACTACTTCAATGGCGTAAATCACTGCAGTCACTCACCAGCCGCCTGCGCTCTGCGGTGGTAACACACAGATGGACCACGCCAAGATCCCTACTAATAACACACAATGGGACGACCCACAAGCTCACAAATGAATCGGAGGCACCTGCAATACTCTACACAATGGGCCTTACTGAAACACCAACCGCAACCTCTGCTCCCCAAGTCCAACACACCTGGGACCCTGAATCAATGATCCCATTCATACCAAGAACCACACCTACTACCTGACTGATCAAGAAAAGGGCGCAACTATCCAACACCGAGGAACGAACTTTAACAGACCACCAAGAATATTGGTTTATATTATGCGTTATACTAACCTCTGTTCAGATTTCTCTTCACTTACTGGTTACCCCACTCATACCCGTTCTACATACTAACAGACCCAGGGAGGGGCAGTCTCAGAAGCACCTCGCATAACACATGATATACACCCTACCACTACCCAGTATACATACTAAACAGTCCCGGGGAAAGGCAGCCTCAGACCCGTCTCGCACACACACGAGATACACCCACAAGAGGTGTACAACACCCCCCCGATACCCCCTTGGTTAGGGGTACTTACCTACTAGGGTAACCGAAACAAGCCCCAGGTCATCACAACTAATACCTTGGTTACCCACACGCTTCCCTCATCAACGCACTCATAACTTAACACAATGCTACAACAAAACCTACTAGTACTCCCATGTAAAAACAAAATGTGCGAATGTTTAATAAGATGTCTTGTTTACGAACCCATTACCAAACCTTGTTACCCGGCATTACAGTTACAGTGCCCGTCCTGGCTGTTGGGGCCGGCTGTGATCATGTAAAAATGAAAACGCACCAAAAATAAAGAATTAAAAAAAAAAAAAAAAAGGAACCTGACAGTTCGACATGTCAGTTGCATCCATTTTACACTCTTGAGCAGATTTGTATTTAAATAAATACAAGTAACAGCTTACTTACCAAATGTTTTTGCTGCTTGAATTGTCTCTTTTGAACCGCGAATTGTCATAATTTGCGCCAATGCATTCATATCATCTGGAGCATTGAAAAAGTGGTATCTACCACTAAGCAGGGAAAGAAAGATGACGCCTGCAGACCACATGTCAATAGCTTAAAGGAAAAGAAAAAAATTATAATTACAAAAAGGTGTTATGATTTTGACATATTTGCATTGATGAACCCAACAATGCTTGCTCTGAATTTTCTAACTGAAAAGCACTATTTCTGGGAGATATGTTTCTCACGTTAAATCTAGCTTATCTGATTACTGTCACATACGCAAAAAACAAAAATCTCTCTTATCCATTTGTATCAAGAATTATATAAATGGATAAGAAAAGAAAAAAAAAATGAACAAAGAAATCTTTAACCAGGGAGATGTAACAAAGACAATTACAAAGAAATACTACACACATTTCATAGCAGAATGTAAAGCCAAAATAAAAACAACATTTCTCACAATATTCTTTCAAAAATGGTTTCCTTTTTGTTTTGTGTTTTAAGAGTAATTAAGACTAGTAGAAACCTCTATATAAATGTGCACACCAGAATACAAATCTGACTGTTTTCTTCATGTCAATTTTATTGCTACCAAACACTAAATAACATTTTGGAATAAGATGGACAATTAACATTCACAGAAGGCTTGCAAAGTGTATTAATATAAAGGGTTACAAATCTGTATACCAGTATTTTTACGTAAGACTTAAAAACTTGGCAGTATCTTAGAACAGAGATTTTCATTTAAAATAAGATGTTGCATTCATTTATAGGCAAAATGAGTACAACCGTAGCATTTGTTATGGTACAGACTATGTAAAACCATTTTTAAAATATATTTGCTTTCATACATGTATTAGATGTACACAATTTTTGGCATTAAATGCATGTAATTTACTCTACTTCACCAAGTGATTTTCTTTATTTCAATGCTATCAAATGACAAAATATCAAATTTGATTATACAATGCTGTACAGCAATTATCTTTTAATAAAAGTATGTAAATTATTTGTTCCTTTACAAAAATGTGCAAAGGATTCCCTGTGTTTTTACAATGTTCCCAAATAAAAAAAATAAAATAAAAAAAATGAATTCAATAAAAAAATAAAATACCTCCACCGTCTATAGGAAAATAACTGAATATTTGATAACAGGTACATTTTACAATTTTTTTTTTTTTAACACATGTTCATGTTTAATTTAAGACAAATTAAACATTAACGTGAATTTGTGTTAACAAAATTATAAAAAGTTCCCCAAATTGTGCAAAGACTCCAGACTGTGACAGTGTCACTTTAAATCCTCTTACCTCTTATTCGTCTTCAGTAGTGGTCTTTTCGGGCAGAGAAAATGCAGCTCTGCAGGAGTGTCCATCTTTAACAAGTAATTGCACGTATTGGGTATGTAGGTTATACTCACGCAGATTAATTTTATATTCCGGTTGCATTTTTAGGAAACTTCATTCCCAAACTTAATATATAATTTATATTTTTATTAACTTTATTTTTTATTTTATTTTACAGTTGCAGGGAGACTGCCTGTCAGCACAGGCAGTCCCCCTGCAGGCAGACACATAGACACCTATTGTGACCATGTGATTGCTCTGTTGAGCGATCACATGGCCCCAGGGGTCCTAATCCACCATGGGGAGACTGTCTGGGCTGCAGGCAGTCTCCCCACAAGGGGTGCACCGCCGATCGGGTAAGCAAATTGGACAGTTAGGACGGTTCAGGACCGTCACCGGTCGGCAATGCAAAAATGCCGATGACGGTCCTGAACCGTCCCCGGCCATGAAGCGGTTAATATAACCCGGAGCAACATTATAAACAAAGTTGTTGTTTAGTCATATGACAGTTGTGCATGCCAGCTTTCAAATAAATAAAATACCACAGTGGTTTAGTGGGCTGAACCTAATGCCCATGAAACATATGCAAAAATAAAATGACATCTTGCATATGTTTAATGGTAGACATTATATTATTAAAAATGCATGGACCCCCATTAAAGGCATATCAGGGCATTTTACATCTACTATATCTAAATTGTCTATTAGTAATTCTTAGCCACGAACATCTGGAGACAAGAACGGAAAGATAAGGATGGATAAAAGGGGCTTTGGTACTGTGAAGCAAAGTTGTAAGAGACGTGGTTTACTCTTCACACAAACCTCTGATGCGAGATAATTCCCCATCTTAGAGCAGTATGAGAATACTTTTAATTAGATGTAGTGGAGTTGAGCGGTGGTTGAAAACAAAAACGGATGCGGCCATGACAGTGCCGCTTTAACCCCTTAAGGACTGAGCCAAATGTACACGTGATCAAAACAAAACCTCGAATTTGACTATATGTCTGTTCAGGCGTATTTCACCTCTTTCATATTATGTGCACCCACACTTATTGTCTATCATTTTATCCAGGGGAAACAGGGCTTTCATTAAACATCAAATATTTAGGTATGAAAATTTAATATGAATATTAAAAAAAAGGAGAAAAGAATTTTAAAATTTGTTTTAGTTCTACGTGACATTTTAACTGTGAATGTCATAATACTGTTAGCTTTTACTGCAATAAAATACACATTTGTATTCAGCGATGGACTTTCGGCCTGGGTTGTCAGGCAGTTCCAGCAAATTGTAATTAATAAAATTATTACATAAATAAATACGTGTATACTTATGTATATAGATATATTTATTATTTCGTTCTAGGTGTATTTTGAGATATATATATATAGAATTTATTTAATTTTAAAATAAAGTCAGAACAAAATTACACATTTATTTAATTTTTTAAAACTTCTTTAGATATTTATTTTATATATATAATATGATTATATTTAATCAATATCACTCTACGTGTATTTTGATATTAATATATAATTATATATATGAATATTAAAATACACTTAGACAGTGTATGTATGTATGTATGTATGTATGTATGTATGTATGTATGTATGTGAGGTCCTCGCAAGGACATCGCGATCATAAGTCCCAGGGGGGCTGGAATGGAAGCAGGGGGACTCCCTGGGATGCCAGATGAGTCCCCCCACCGCGATTGCCGGTGACCGGGTAAGTACATAGGACGGCTTGGATGTTTTATGCCGCCCGTGTTTAGAGCCAGGTCCCCAAGGACGGCATAGAACGCCCGCCGTCCTTAAGGGGTTAAGCAATTTTTTGGGTAGTCTTGGGACAATTTTGACAGGCTTACCAGATTACTAGAAATAGAGATTAGTTTTGACATTCTTTTGCAATATACTATCGATGTCAACACACATTGTATTGCAGGATCATATTGACATGAATGTAGGAGATAATATAAAAGAATACTTACCAGTAGTTTGATTCGGACACTTTGTAAGGACTTCTGGAGCTCGAAATCCTGGAGTGCCAGCCCTCGGGGCAACTTGTCTGCTCCTTTAAAGATAGGTTATCTACATTAAAATGAACACAAGCCTTGTCCTCTTTTTGTACATAAGTAAACAAGTACCAATGCTATTCTGAGATGCAACACATTTGCGATTAAGGATTTTTTTGGCACTTTTTCTGTTTTCATTCTACAACAATTTCACCCTTTCTGTTTAAAGTGCTCCTGTGTGTGTGTGTGTGTGTGTGTGTGTGTGTGTGTGTGTGTGTGTGTGTGTGTGTGTGTGTGTGTGTGTGTGTGTGTGCACACAAACACACACACACTACAGCTTTCTTTCGATACCCTACATGTATACATAACACAATATAAAATAAACTTTTTTCTCAGATAGATATGAATTCTCAACCCTATAGTGTTAAAAACACATGTAGCCTCACTGGCCATACTTGCACCCCCTTAAATAATAAGAAAACTCACCTTTTTTCCTAGCCCAGTGAGTGTCTGCACCCCTGATTCACCTCCCTGGCTGCGGACATTAACAGAACTGATTATCTCAGCCAATTACAGTGCCAAACACCGCCAATCAGCATCACCTCATAGAGATGCATTGATTCAATGCATCTCTACGGAGAGCGTGGAGCCATTGGACTAATCCAGGAAGCACCTCTAGTGGCTGTCAGAGAAGTAGCCACTAGAGGTGTTCCTAGGCACAAATGTAAATAATGCCTCTTCTCTGAAACGGCAGTGTTTACAGCAAAAAGTCTGCAGGAACAGACTATACTCACCAGAACAACTACATTAAGCTGTAGTTGTTCTGGTGACTATAGTGCTCTTTTCATAATTTCTGCACACCAAATGCAACTAAGAAGACCAACAGAAAATAGATTCAATAATTTGTTAAAATGCCCAAAATATCTAGGATTTCAAATAATTTTTAAAGATCTAAAATAATAAATATTGCAAGAACGGAAAACTTTGAAAAACTTGGCATCGGATATTAAAACTTTAATAGTAGTCAAAGAAACCAAAACCGCTACACAAAAGTATTTATATTTGTAAAATGTACATCCCCAAGTTATTTAACTAAGAGCATTTTGATACTTTAAATTTACTCTAAATACAAAAGGATGCACGCCAAACTAATAAATCAATCACTTTATTGTACAATCAAATAGCCTCTATCACTATAGCCTCTATCATTGGTGAGCTCTAGTAATTATGTATTTGTTGTAATATTTGATTGTAAAATAAAGTCATTGATTATTCGTTTGGTATGTATCCTTTTGTATTAAGAGTATTGATTTTTAAGGAATGCCTCTTGGGGATAGCACCCTTTCATAATTTATCTGTACAACCTTTACCAATTTTTGATTTATTGATACTTTTCATTTAACAATTTTATCACGAACTTGGTCCAAATAAATAAAAGTTTGTTTCCCAACACGTGTTTTATTTTGGAGAAATTCACAGACCATGTGTGTTCCACTATTGTAATCACCGCATATTTGTAGTTTGCTACTGTTCTCGATTATAATACCTTACATTTATTCTCTAATCCAACCACTAATTTGATCCATAATTTAACCACTAATACCACTTTAGAGGGAATCCATCTGCTGAGGTCAGTACTGATATCAGCAGAGGGATTTCCTAGCTCACATAGTACAGAGCGGTCTCTGAGAGCACTATACTGTGAGATTGCAGCATGAGAATGATCGATGCAGCAGGCTCTTTTCAGACACTGGGGCTCTCCCTGTCACTTGGGGCACAGTCAAAATCACCATAGCTGAGCAAGATTGTTCAGCCGCAGTATTTAAAGGGCCAAGTGCAACACTTCACTGTCAGTCTAGGGCCTCTAACTATGGTCTTAGCTGACAGATGGGACCCCTCAGGTATCCAATGAATTCAACCCTTTCTAGTACATTTAATAAATGACAGTCTATGCCATCAATGCACAGTACTGCATAGATCGTAATGTGGTCCTTAAGTGGTTAAGTCATTAAGAGATGATCGTATTCTCATCTAATGAATACAATCCTTTCCCTTTCTTAGGACAATGTTGCCATGCTGTGATATTGTGGAGGTTCTTTGTGATATATACCATTTTCCCATGTACAATCATTTAATTATGTAGAAAATGATGTCTTGGGTTCCATCATTTGTAAATGATTTGACAGACTACAGGCAGATGGTATCAGGGGACTCCTGAAACAATAACCACTAGACTGTGCATAATGTAACTTTAGTAACATAAAACAAAATAAGACAAAGTAAAACTACATGCTCTTCCAAAAACCTTAACTGCTTGTACAGTGTCAAGATTGAGTTGCTACCACAAAAACCTAGTTGTTCCCTATTCTATAAAATAGAGATAATGTTTCTTGCTTTTGCTCAACTTTTTGTATAGCACAATAAAAACAGTTTCTAGCAGTTCCAAATTCTGTTCAGTGTGTTGTAAAAAAGCAAAAATCTAAATACATTACCTTCCAAGGCAAACAAAACACACTTGATTTCTTGCAAAACATTCACAAGGAGTGCTGGCTAGGATGGAGCGAACAGATTTCTTGGCTACACCATCACTTGGGGTTTTTGTAGGAATAGTCTTTTTTGGTGCCAACTTTGTAGATTCAACATCTATCTTAGATTGCTTAATAGCCTGTAATAGGAGTATTACATATACGACAGTTATACTTGACAGTTTTGCAAAAGTAGCACAATTACTAGGCACCTTCCAGATCTTAAAATGATTTACATTTAATAAATATTAGGAAGAATCAAATAAAAAGGAACTACAAATATTAAAGAAACCATACCTAATAAAAGGCATGGACACAGTGCTGGAGACTGACGAAGTTCAATTTCCTCAAACCATCCGATATATTTTGTGGATCAGAACCAAAACACTAAAAACAGCTTCAACCCTCAATTAATTAAGTGCAAAATTATGTATTTCTTCATAACAAAAGAAACCGATATGGAAATCAGAAGCACCAAAAATAGAAATGTGTAACAATATATAAGAAAGCTTAAAATTAAAATAGCTGCTTCACACACTAAAAGTGTATCCCTCCAAACAATTAAAAAAAACAAAACAAAAAATTAACACAGACGATAACTACTGGAGCGCTTGGAATCTGTGTTTTCATACTCAATAAAACAGTGTTGGTAAAATGAATAAGAAAATGTGTAAAAAAAAATAAAAGTTTTTACTTTGAATGGTGTGTTTAACAATAAATATAATGCTTATAGTTAAAAGTAAAAAAACTGCATTATAAACAATGTGTGAATGCTAAAGAATTTGTGTTACCCTCCATGATTTACTCAGGTAATACTTGGCTGTATGAACAGAGCTTCAATGGAATAATTTAAACCGTTAAATATAAAAAAATAAAATAAAAACACAATAGTGCAAACGGTTTAATATATACACTCTTTGCTAAAGCTTTCCACAGTGTATAAAGGATATATGAGGCCATCCACATTATTTGTTTTTAAGTTTCATCTTTGAGATTTAAATTATTCCATTGAAGATCTGTTCATACTGCTAAATATTACCCAAGTATCACAGAGGGTAACACTTTAAAATTCTTTAGCATTTGCACATTTTTATTGGCACTTTTTTCCTGATATCATTTAACTATTTATTGTTCAACAGTGTTTCATGGTAAAAAAATTAATTTTTTTTAACATTTTTTCCATTTCATCAACATGGTTTAAAATGGAGTAGAAAAACGGGGATTATAAACAAGAACCAGTGTAACGCGTTCTGTGCTTACTGGCACTTCATGTGAGGAGGAGTTTGAAGTGGAAATTTTCTTTTTTGGTGTTCCACAATTGCGATCCGTTCAGCAAGATATATTCGAGTGATAAACAATGCAGACACCTATCAATAGTTTACCCTGACAGGGTAAAAAAAATTCTAATCTCCAGGACTATACTAGTAATGATTCAATCTCTAAGATGGTGTTGGACTCATGACTGATTTGGTTATTTAGCATGTGTGAAAACTGAATCATCAAAATATACAGCTTATATTATATAGTGGACAACTTAAGTGCAAAAATCCTGTTCATAGATACGGTTTATGATCCACAAAGAAATTACCGGTAGTTTCCACAGATGAATGCTGGTGTTTCCACTCCACTAGCATAAATAGACATTAAAAGAAAATGTAAACTTAAAAGCCCTCTGAATATATTCACTTTAAAAGTTCCTAATACAACAAACACATACCCAAAAGAAACCGTTGCATTCATCATACATGAGGAGCATAACAGCTCTGTAAACCATAAGGCAGATGCTAATAGCTTACATACAGCCTAATTCACGTTTAATGGACTGGACTGTGTGCAGCCATTGGCAGAACAGGCAACCAAATGCACAGTGTGTGTAGTTTTGCTCTCTTTACGCACAAAATGGATGTAGACCACCTAGAACTGAGTTCTGGCTGCCTGACTCAGAGCCCTGGTGCAATGGTTTACAGCTGCAGTGATTTTTCTTTGCAATTATAAGCCACTTGCATACTGAAAATTGTGAAGGATAGTCTCTGCACCATTAACTTTGCATATAGGCAAAGCTAAGATGGTGCTTAGACTGACCCTTTAAGGATTGTTTGATAAATACATTTTTTTTCCCACTTTCCTTAACACAGAAGGAGTTCCTGAAACTATAAGAAAATCGCAAATTGAAAAAGTTGGGGAAATGTCTGCCTTCAAAGAAGGTGTCATTTCTTTTGAACAATATGAAGATATTAGGAAAAATGACAATAAAAAGTTAGATTCCATTACATTCACATGTTAAAATCCAGAATCATAAATTACAAGTAATTTGTCAAGCAGCTATCAAATTTTCAATGTGCAGGGAAAAGGAAAAGGCTCTTTGAGATAATACACAACATGCTCCACGAAAAAAGTTAGCCTATATAAATATGATAATCTCAAATTGTAGATAGTATTAATGTGCTTTTTCATGGTGCTCTATTCTCATGATGCATTTATTCTAAATTTAACTTCAACAAAAGTACCAAATGCATAGAAATCAAGAACATCAATATTACATATTTACTAAATTTCCAAAACAAGGAGAAAAGAAGGGCCAAATCACATTTTATTCAATGGAGACAGACACACACACACACACACTAGAGGGAAACTATAATAGGCACAAAAACGTTGGCTTAATGAAGCAGTTTTGGTGTACAGATCAGGCTTTATTTTCAAATATTTATTTTTAATACAAGAACATAACAAAAGGGAACCACTGGGAAACCAAATAACCGTAACCCAAGAAGCTCCAAGTGGGCTTAACCCACAATTCAATAAAAAAATAAAAATAAAAAAAAAAGACAAATAGACCCAAAAATGGTATATAAGTCCAAAATGGAGATCCCTCCAATAGATAAAAAAATGGTAGAACAACTTTATTAGAATATACGACTATTTGAAAAATTAGAGTAAGACCATACTTATGCACACTGAAAAGCCATGAGGCTGTGGTGCGTGATGAGGTTTAAGCACTGTGCGTTTAGATTTCAGAAGGTATTTATGAACCAACCATTTCACAGAAGGAGCAATTCACCAGGATTTTAGACAGGGATAACCGCTGATGCTGAAAAGAGCCAGACAAAAAGGTCTCAAAAATAGGTTTTAAAGTAATTTGAAAAAACTAACACTAGAGACTGCTCTTCTGGTGATATATACCAGGTGGAAAGGGTGGAGTGAAAAAAATATAAAACAACCCACTTGTGCACAATGTACAACCACAATAATATTAGAATAGCAGATTCTTCATTAGAGAGATGAAAACCAGGGCCCAATAGATGTGTTTAGATACTATGCCCCCAAAGTTGTTTGGAGTAAATCTTACATGATCTAAGACTAGATGTACAAAAATAGATTATACTAAAAGACCCCTTTAAGAATCTGCCACAATAATATTTGGATAAATAAGAGGGACTAAATAGTTGTTTAATAGTTGTCTGCCCCAGCAAGTTCCATTTACCCTTTCTTTCAGTAAGGGTATTTATTAATAGGGGTTAACCTCCAACCTCCCTTAAATTTTATACCAAGGTGTTATCCCCATCAGCGACCAATCTAGAGAATCAAAAGTGCTCAAATCATAAATTAAATAAATGGAACGCAAAAGAGCCCTATGATTTGAGCACTTTTGACATTTTTTATTTTTCAGTTTCAGACAGGTAACAGAGATCATCTTATAGCATTGAACGTATATAGATGATCATTTTTAGAACAATTAGACATCTAATGTGTGGAAGTGTTCAGAACTAGGTATATTCGGTTCTATTATGACGAGATAACAGCGTATTTCCGCATTGGCTGTTATTAGTGTCAGTGGTTACGAGTTTATAGGTGTTTTTATACCTTTTTAGTTACTTCTGTAAGCGTAAGTAGGGTGGATTCTCTGTTGAGGTTTTTTGTTTTTTTCCCTGCTGGCGTGTGCGCAGTACCTGTTGGATTGTCAGTATCTTCGTTTTGCTTTATGACCCCTTGTTTTGCTTCGTTTTGTGTGAATTTTGCTTGGTGGTGAGCTTATTTTGGGACTCATCTATATAGCTTGTTCCAGAGTCGGGCTGCCATGTTTTAGTGTATATCCCTTTTTGGTGTTTTGCCTGCTCGGTTTCTTTTGCCCTATGAGCTCGGGTGTTCGTTGTAATTGTTTGTGTTTCGTTTGTGTGCGTTGGATCGAGTTTTGGGTGTAGGCTGTTTATGTGATGTCTAGTTATGTCTTCGCACTATTTCTCCAGGTTTGAAGAGTTGGGTTGGGTTAACTCCTGGTTAGTGATATCTTGGTCTCTATCGGATTAGTGTGTATTCAAGTGTCTCTGTGCTGGTATTCCTTTTGTTCCCCTGTGTGGGTTAGTCACGTCCTACATCTTGTGTGGTGGTGTGTTTCCTTTCAGGTGTGCATGGTGTGTCGTGTTTGGTTTAAGGTAGATCGGGGGGTGGTCTGTATGTTAGGTGCCCATGCTAGTTGTCAGCTCTGAGGGGTTTTGAAGCCCTTTACCAAGCGTTGCATATTTTCTATTGGTAGATTTTACTTTGCTTCCTCCCTATCTCTTATGTATCTGTGAGGGTCCTGGGTCAGCTAGCCACTCTGTCCCCCGGTCGTGTATGCCTTCCTCGGTCTGTCTTCCATTCATCTCTGCTTTTGGGGTGTGTGTTCTGCTATTGTCTAGCTACGTTTGTTGTGGTGTGTTTCGAGTGTACGTCTCTTTTGCATGTCTCTTGTCCCTGTGGGGGGAGACGGGGGTTGTGATCAGGTGTGTGGTTCAGTCAGTTGTGGCGTTTATTGTGGCTGTGCGCTCTCTTGTCGGGGGTTTTGCACCGCCGCGGTAGCATCCCCGCTCCCCCCCCACGTCAGCCAATGCAGCTCTCTTAGACACATAGTCCATCCATGGGAACCATGTCAGGGCACACTTGTCCGAGCGTCCCTTCAGTGAGGCCTTCATCATTTCCATGTTGTAGATTGTTTCTACCCTGTCGACCCATTGTTGAAAGGAGGGAGTTGTCTGGCTTTTCCAGTGTGTTGGTATGAGCGTTTTTGCTGCTGTGAGCAGGTGTATGGTGAGGCACTTTTTGTATGTCTTCGGGGGTATGTGTGTGTGATTTAGCAGCATCGGTAGCGGCTTGAAGGGGATTTCTGTACCCATACTTTCTTTGATCGTTCGATGTATCATCCGCCAGTATGGTACGATGTGGGAGCACGTCCACCAGATGTGTAATCCTGTACCTTCTTCTGTGCCGCATCTCCAGCACTCTTGGGATCGATTCATGTACGTGCCATAGGACGTCCGGGGTCCTGCACCAATGTGTCAGTATCTTGTAGTTGCATTCTTGAAATTTAGTGCTTATGGATCCTTTGTGCGTCAACTGGAAGATATTTCCCCATTCAAGGTCAGTTAATTCAACCTGTCTCTCTTTCCCATCGCTCCGTGAAGCCAAGAGAGCTCTTATCCCCGTTGGTCTGTAGTGTGGTGTATAGGGTCGATACGCCATGTGCGAGGTGCTGTCTGGTCGTGCAGATGTGTTCTAGGTGTAGCAGTGGGCGATGTAGGTGATCCTTGCCTTTCACGGCGTTGGCATACGTTTTTATCTGGTGGTAACAGAATTCGTCCAGCCCGCTTGGTCTGCAGTCTTGCAGCAGTTCAGCCATGGTCTTTAGATTCGGTCCGTTGCACCACTGGCGTATGTGTACCCAATCCTTTGCTCCGAAGTTTTTTAGGTCGGCGTGCTTGATAGTACGTGATGATTGACGGTAGTCCCATGCCTCCTTCACTCTTTGGCCGCTTCAGAGTCGATCTCCGTATTCGTGCTGGCTTCTGGTTCCAGACGAACCGTCTGATGGTTAACGTCTGAAAGAATTCACGTGGGATGGTTGTGGGTAGCGTCTGGAATAAGATTAAGATTCGGGGCTAAACGTTAATTTTAGTTGCATTTATTCGTCTGAACTATGAGATGTACTGTGTCGTCCATCGCTTTATGTCATGTTGCAAGGTTGCGAGAAGTGGTATGAAATTCATTTGGTATATATGTGCGATGTCCTTTGGTAGCCAGATGCCTAGATAGTGTAGTTTGGTTGGGCACATTTTGAAAGGGTATTGTGTACGTATGTGTTGTTGGAAGGCGGTGTCTCGGGCGAGCGGCATCGCCTCCGATTTATCCAGATTGAGTTTCAGGTTAGATACTTAGTTATAGTTCCGGAAAGCCTCCAGTAGGTTTGGCATCGAGATCCTGGGTTGTTCCAGGAAGAAGAGCATATCATCAGCGTATGCCGCCACTCTGTGTTCCCTCCCACCTATGCGATGACTCGTGATTCCTCCGTCTTGCCTGACCACTTCAAGGAAGGGTTCAATGGTCAGGGCGAATAGGAGGGGAGACAGCCTTGACTTGTACCGTTGCGTATGTTAAACGAGTCTGTTAGTGCTCCATTGACCCGTATGCATGCTGATGGTGTGGTGTATAGTGCGGCCACCCAGGTCCGCCCGCAGGTGTGGCCCAGAAGCCATGTGTCTCAGTGTCTCCGCCATGAATGTCCAGTCTACCCGGTCAAATGCCTTTTTGGCATCTGTGGATAGCAGCACCATGTCCGGTTTGCTGGCCAAGGCTGTGTGTAAGATTTTAAGGGCCCGGATGGTATTATCCCTGGCTTCCCTCCCGGGTATGAATCCAACTTGGTCCGGGTGTACCAGGTCCGGGAGCGTGCGTGCAACTCTAAGGGCCATGGCTTTGGCGAAGAGTTTTAAGTCTGCATTCAGCAGCGAGATTGGCCGGTAGCTGGCGCAGTTTGTTGGGTCTTTGCCTTCCTTCAGTATGATCGTGACTGTCACCCTCAGGGTGTCTGTGTGGAATTGACCTCCAGTTCGTATGGAGTTGATGCCAGTCAGGAGGCTGGGTAGCAGGATGTCTTTGAAGGTGCATATATATGAGGCTGGGAGTCCATCTGGTCCTGGGGCTTTGTGTGGTTTCGTTGTTTTCAGCGCTGCTTCTAGTTCTTCGATTGCCAGTTCGGCTTCCTGTTCTGGGGTAAGCTTACGGATAACATGGTCCTCCAGGTATGTGTCTATCCACTCCTGGTGTTGTCTTGCCGCTGGTCCCGTCCGGTTTTGCGCCTGGTCGTACAGCGCCGCGTAGTAGTCCCGGAACGCTTGAAGAATGCCCTCAGGGAGCCGTGTAATGCCTCTTCTCGTGTGGACTTTGTGGATATGTTGTGTTCTTTTCTCCTGGAGCATCCTTGCCAGCAGTCTGCCACTTTTATTAGAATGTTCATAAAAATACCTGGATACTTTCCTCGCAGTATGGAGCAGTCCTTGGGACAATATATCTCTGAGCTCCCTGCGTATCTCGGTGAGGCGGAGGAACACTCTCTCATCTAAAGTGTTCTTGTGCTCTCTTTCTAGCTCAGCTATTTGTTTTGTCAGGTTAGTGATGTGCATCTTCCAGGACCTTTTGCAGCTGGTGCTAGCTGCGATAAGGTGTCCCCGGATGACACATTTATGAGCCTCCCATAACGTTAATGATGGGGTGTCTGGGTTGTCGTTTGTTGTAAAATATTCAGTTAAGGCACTGGTTACCGTGGTTGTGAGCTCTAGGTCGTCTAGCAAGGATTCAGTTTCCACTGTCTTTCCCGTGGTTTGAAGAGTGGGGAGCTTGTGTGTACCAGAACCAGCGCGCGTGGCCGGAATGGTCCATCAAGCCTATGTCCGCGTTGAGCAGTAGGTTCAAATATTCCTGGGCTATGAATACGTAGTCTATACGACTATAGTGTGCGTGGACTGCTGAGTGGTAGGTATAGTCACGCTCTTCTGGGTGGTAATCTCTCCAGCAGTCCACGAGCCCTGACTTGTGTAAGGATTGTTGTGCAGCTCGCAGACAGTGTGGGGATCACGCTCTGGCCTCTGGAGGTGTCCATGTGGGGGTCCAGTGGCAAGTTTAGGTCTTCGGCCATCACCAGCAGGCCCTCCCTGAATCTCCGTTGGGGTCTGCTAGGGTTTTCGTGCATTGGAATGGTGTCGTGTGTGCGAAAAGTAACGCCACCCCTGTTTTCTTGGCGTCGGTTCGGTTTGCGAAGCATCCCAGTGGGTAGCGTTGATTTTCCAGTTTGGGTGTGCCTCTGAGGTGAGTTTCCTGCAGGAACGCCATGGACGCTTTCGCTGTCTACAACCGTCGGTGCAAGTGTGAGAGCTTTTCTGGAGTATTGAGTCCCTGGACGTTATCGGACCAGTATGTCAGCTGAGCCAGGGAAAACCCCTGTCTGGCTGCCATCTTGGGGAGGCGCCTGTCCGCGGCGGCACTGGTAGGGAAGGGGGGGGTATTGTGTTAATAGGGGTCACGGGAGGGTGTTGCGGTATTACAGGTCTGCTGCGGAATTTCGTATGGGGGAGTGTATGGGTGTGACGTCGACCCTGCACCGGGTGCTAATGTTCCAGTGGTTGGGTGGTGTGCCCGTCCCGCGGAACCCCGGTTGTAATTACAGTATGGGTCTGTCTCAGTGAGGTTCAGTGGTGCAACCTTTGGTAGTGGTGTCTGGTCAGTTGTCTTCCTTCCTCTCCGTCAGCTCCCAACCTGTCGGAGGCGTTTGTTGTCGTGTCGTCGGTGTTAGCTAGTTTGGGGGTGTTTTGTGTTCTTCGCCCTCCCAGTCTCTATCGGCCTTGTGTGTCTTGTTTGTGTTTCTGCGACTCGCCGTATGCTGGAGTGTTCCTCCCAGGTCTCTCCTGTTCCCGGCAGTATCTGTTTCCCTTAGATAGCACTCCTCTAGGTTAGTTAGGTTCCGACTAGCCCAGTCTTGTCTTGTTTACCGCCCACGTGTTCTGTGTCACCTCTCGATGTATCCTAAGGGTTCCAGTGAGTCCTGAGCTAGTGTCTCCTATTGTTTCGGTCCGTGTTGGGGTCCTCTCCCGTGGGGAGGCTCAAGCGTTTTAATGTGCCAACCCCTATGTTTAGCTATACTGTAGCGTGTGTCCGTCTATGGTGGCGCGTCTGGTATGTGGGCTCTAGTATTTGCTAGTGTGGTCCTTGGTCGGGTCGTCTTTGCGTGTGGCTCGTATCTCACCCAGTGGTTCCTCCCCTTCTTGGGTGGTTGTCCGAGGGGTTTCGTGCAGTTTGCAGCAGCATTTGTCTTGTGGTTGACCCGTGTTTCATACTTGTGCTCTGCTCGCTTGTTTGGTGTGGAGTATGTGTGTGTGTGTAATGGGTGGTCGCTCAAGGGGAAGTCTCCCGGTGTGTGGTTTTAGCAATGGGTTTTTCTATCCTTTTCGGTACCCTCCACTTGTCTGTTTTCTACCTCCCTAATTCCCTTGCAGGATTCCGGCCCATATTATCCCGGGCCGGTGTTCCCGCCAGGTCTGCATCTTACGCCCATTCTACTCCAGTCCCCTCCCTCTGTATCCACTCCATTGTCCCTTGGTGTTATGCAGTCTCAGTGCCTTGGGTTAGTGATGCGATTATTTTCATGTAGTGTGCTTACTGTGTTTGTATGTAGCAGGTAGAGGGGTCTCTCATCTGGGGGTGGGGGGTTGTCAGCCCGAAGATACCAGTGATAAACATTTAAACTATGTCCAATGTATTGCCCAATATTTAAGAGGTTCTCCAACCCCTCACCAGTCCCTCCCCGAACCTTGTCCCCTCGCATTCTTCCGTGCCCCTGTAATCCCTTGTCCCACATTTGAGCACTTTTTAATTCACCAGATTAGTCGCTGATGGGGGATCCCATTTGAAAAGAGGCCGACCTCCAGTCATCGGTGGGAGGGGGAGCGAGAGATTGGAAAGAGGAAAAGCAAAGCAAAAAAAAAAAAAAAAAGTAGGTGGGACAGGATTTTCGATTGAGTAGAGGCGTAGGCCCCCGACATTCAGCCGTGGAAACTCCAAGTAGCGTAGAGGCTTTAGGCACCACTGACAACCCAAGGGTCCCCCATATGTCAATGAAGGATTTGTAAGAGTTGTGAGTTTGTGCTGTTAGTTTGTTGAGGTTGTACGTCTCTGTAATTTTCCGTTTCACTGTTGACTGTTAGGTATGCGGATGTCCTCCCACAGTTCACCAATCACACTACGAGTTGCAAAGGTGATTCTGGCAGTGAGTACATTGTGGTCAGTGCAATCAAAAGTGATGACATTTGGTCCGACTGGGGGCAAAGCAATGCCGCTTGAAATGAGTCGATGGCGCCGTGCCGGCTTGTTTGATCACGGGTGTGTTCGCGAGATCTCTGAGCTGTACTTTAACCCCTAAAGGACCAAACTTCTGGAATAAAAGGGAATCATGACATGTCACGTGTCCTTAAGGGATTAAAAAGTGGTCTGAGGTTCGCAGGGTCTCTGGTTGTGGGAGGTCGGAATATTGAAAGACACTGCCCTGGTGGTACAACTGTAGAGATGTTCTCTTGATCAAAGCTGTGGAAGTGTTTAGGGATCATGCTAGGTGGGAATAATTTGTTGCGGTATATTTGCATTACTGGTGAAAAAAAAGGATAGGTTGAATTTGTTTTTAAATTTGTCCCATAGAAACAAGATATGAGAAATTGCTGGACAGGTGGGGAGCTGAAGGGGTCAGTGTTCTCAGGGAAACCCACAAGTAGGATGGGAGGGGGTCCCACCCAAAGATATCGTCTTCCAGATCCACTGTTGAACATGTGCCAGCTGGGCAGCATGGTAATAGTCGGTGAAGTTGGGCAGCCCTAAACCTCGTACAGTTGATCTGCAAATTTGTGGTCTGACGTTTTTCCAAATGATTTTGTCTATGACTGCTTGCAGATTTCTGAAATCTGAGAGGACCAGGGGGATTTGCAGTGTTTAGAAAAAGAGGAATCTGGGGCGGGGGGGAGGTTATCTTTATCGTGGTCACGCGTCCCAGCCAGGACACTCCCAGTGAATGCCATCTCCGCAGATCTGCCAGGGCAGTGTCAAGAATGGGTTTGTAGTTAAAGGCATAGAATTCCTGTAGGTTTGGTGAAATACGCATGTCTAGCTACATGATGACTCTTGTGGTAATCTTGAATGGAAATGTTGTGTGGATGGCGTGTATTTGGTTGTCATCCAGGGCTAGGGGCATGAGCTCTGATTTGTTAAGGTTGATCTTTTACCCAGACATTCGTGTATACTGTGAGTAGGGTCAGTGTAGCTTGAATGGAGGGTTTGGCAAAGAAATTTATGGTGGGGAAAATTGTGATTGAAAACCCCTTCCACCTTAAGTCAGTGTATAGTCAATACATTGTTAAACACAGATCTGAACACCAGTAAAACCATAAGACCTGCTTTTAACTTTACTCCTTGATTTTATATAAAAAAAATGTCAGTTGAAGATCCAGCACAAGAGATTTTTTTTTTTTTTTTAAATAAACCAAAGTTTTCAATAAATGTTTGGAGCCACTTTATTTTTTGGGGGTCACATGTAAATGAACTTTTCTAAAACATACAAAACACAATTTTGCACAAATAAAGAAAAGAAAACAAAAAATAAACTTCCTTACTTTTACAGTGGGGTTCTTGTTCGTTACAGTACCGTGGACATTAAAATTTCTCTCTCCAAATACAGAACGCTGACTAGGATAACCAAGCAATCCTTCCTGAAAAACGCATACAAAATAAGTACAAAAGAATTAACTCTGACACATTACAAGTGAAGATAGTAGAATATTTAAAGAATTAAATAAAACAAGAACAGCTGCATGCATGTTTAAGCACATAAATCCTTTCCATGTGCAAATAAGAACAGTCTAGACACAGCAATAAACATCATAACACAAATACGTATTGGAACACACAGTACTCATACAAAATCAGCTAGAGTGACCACGCCCAACAGAAGAGAGGGGAGCAAAAAAATAATGTATCACTAACACGGGTGAAACGTACAGTTATTTAAGAATAGTGGAATAAAATTTAAAGAAAAGGGAGTTTGCTGTAATCAATTAGATATTGTACGTTTTGAACTTTTTAAAGTGTTGTTTACTTTTTTGGCCAAATTAATTGCAAACAGGCAAATAAATATGGTCATAACTGCAAAGGGAAGAGCACATGTTTTGGGTTATCTGAAGCCATGCTTTTGTAATGAAGCTCTGTCAAACAGAAATGTAAAAAGACTCAACCTTTACTTTGACTCCTTGATTTATCTGTATTTCTGAATGTGACCAAAGTCTTTTTACAGACTGCTTTGTTGATGGTGGCAGTACTAGGTCTCTAGGTACCGGTATATTTTGAGGCAACCTGTTTCCTGATATTGTGTGAGGTTTATTTTGTGAGCAACTTTCCTGTTTTTTTATTTGCAGAACCTTAAGTTGTTCTATTTTTGTGTCTGGCGTGCCTTGTGCCAATCCAAAATCTACCAATGCAAACCTAAAAACAAAAACAGAAGAAAAAAAAAAAAAAAGTATATGAGTACAAACGTGTAACCCAGCATGTTTTATTTTCTTCTGGAAAATACCATGCATAAGCAGGAATAAAGGAACAGCAAGGTTTGTGTTAATTTAGAAAATAAAATGTTTACTTTTATTATTCAAAGCAATCATGTAAAAAAAAAAAAGATATATGGGCATTAAATACAGAGTGAAATATTGTGTTTTATGATAGGAAAAATCAAATATCTGCTTTGATCCTTTGGCAGTAGTGAAAATGTGCTTACTGCAGGGCTTGACAAATTTGTTTGGAATATAGGAGCCAGCAATTTTCAAGGAGAAAGCGCAATTCTTAAAAGGGACACTATAGTCACCAGAACCACTACAGCTTGATGTGGTTGTTCTGGTGTCCATAGCCTGTCCATGCAGGTGTTTCAGTGTAAACACTGCCTTTTCCACAAAAAGCCAGAGTTTACATTGCTGCTCAACAACACCTCTAATGACAGTCACTCAGATGGCCACTAGAGAGTCCTGGGTCACTGCCGCAACACGTGCAGCACCCAGGTTCAGAGTCTCCAAGCTCTGCGTGGAGGTGCTGAATGTTCCTCATAGAGATTGATTAATGTAATGCATTTCTATGAGGAGATGCGGATTGGTACATTTGCTGCGCATGCATAAAATCCTCCCAATGCTTTCCTAAGAGAAAGCATTGGCTTAGCTGAGATCATAAAGATTAATCGTCTCAGCCATGGTGAAACTGGCACGGCATGGGAAAATGGGAAGATAGGTGAGTAAACACCTTCCTCATGCGATCGGAGGGGGCATTTACCTAAACGTGTGCACACACACACACACTCTGACAGGATCACACACTCTTAACAGGCTTGCACGCACACACTGACAGACTCATACACACAGGCTGACAGGTGCTCTCACACACACACACACTCTCTTGACAGGCACATATATAGACACTGACAGGCTCTCTCTCACACACACACACATTTTTGTTTTAATTGAAACCCACTCAGCCTCCCTACCTGTGGAAGAGCTGAGTGGGTCTTTCCAGGGGTCCAGTGGGGCTGCTCTCTTCCTGTGTGTGAAGGAGCAGTACTCTGCCTGTAGCTCCTCTCTGCTCCCTCACTCTCTGTAATGATGCCAGGGCCGGAATTATGTTATATTCTGGCTACCGGCCTCAGACAGCGCGAGGGAGTAGAGAGCAGCTGCAAACAGAGTACTGCTCCCGCGGAAGGCGGTTGCCTCAGTGTTCCCGCGGGAGGCGACCTCCAATATTCTCCATGACGGCAGCCGTCAAAGCTCCCTCCCACACTAGAGAGCTGGCAAATACCAGACGCCAGGGCGAAGTTTATAGTAACCGTGGCGATCTGGCGTCATGGTGTATAGATCATACAAATACACAAAAATAAGTCCTCCGCTCAAGCTTCCACTACTCCTGGGTTGCAGCAACCACCATAGCACCTATTAGCCCTAGTGCGCAGTTAACTTTTTTCCTTCTTTTGTTTTTACTTTATGTATTGGGGCTGATTTTTGCCCTGCTGGTTGTTGCCCAGGAGTAGTGGGAGTTGGAGCGCAGGACTTATTTTTGCATATTTATATTTACTTTTTTTAACAAAAAAAATAAATCGTACAGCCATGTTACAATGCTGCCACCCACCCCATGTGTTCCCTATTAAGAGTTAATAAGTATGTAGTGGTTTAGAAAAATACCCCTCTCGGTCTCAGAGATTTCTTTGCCTGAAGCAAGCAAAGTGAATTGTTAGTATATGACCCACCTAAGAGGTTTGCCTTGATGTGGCAGGTGGGCTTACATCTAATGGCAATTGGAGTTTAGTTAAATATGCATTGGGATTTGGGATAGTGCACACGTAACTATTTTTCTTTGTTTTTTATTGTATGCATTGGGGCTGTTGTGTGCTATGGTTGTTGCTGCCGCTCAGTAGTGGACGCTTGAGCGCAGGACTTATTTTTGTGTATTTGTATAGATCATGCCCGTGCACTCTCACTTCTCAATGCTCTTATTTAGAAGTAAAATCACTTGTTTCTATACCCTAGCCACACTTCCCATGGCTGAGACTAACACAGAGAGTACCCCTGCCAAAAAAAAAAAAAAAAAATCCTTACGTACCCCTTACATGTAGACATTGATATTTAAGTTAACCTGACATGCCAATGTGGCGAAAGTAACCTCGCCACTGGTTTTTGGAGGGACCTGTTTGCCGGCCTCCTGCCCTGCAACTATGGCCCCGGGATGTACTGCATTTCTAGGAACTGATTTGGACATAATGGATTTCTAGAATGCGGTTTCTGGCCTTTTAATGCCCAGAGAAAGGATTTGTACTTTTAAACTGGCACTTCGGATGCAGTCGACGTACCAAAGTTGCCGCCATTTGAAAACCGAACACGTGATGGCCGCGGCCATTTTAACTAATTCGAACACGATCAGCAGTGTGTGCAGCCAAATCTATGGAACTGTTTTCGGCTACCCAATTGCACGAACACCGCTGACCCGTACCTTCTACTCTACTTCGACACTGCGGCTGGAGACTAAGTCCCGTTCGAAGATTTGAACACTTGTTTTTGGAACTGATTTGGGCATGAAAATGTGCTTGCGGTCGGTCAAAAGTGACATATCTATCTCCTCAACGGATTCGAATGATTTTTGGGTATGTTTGTATTTGGAATGAGCAGATTAATAATATGTGACTTTTATTAATATTGGATGTATAGTTTTAGAGTTATGAAAGTTGGGTAAAAAGTATATTTTAAACTGTACTGCTAATTGTGTTACCTCTCAGGCTAAGGGGAGGGAATGTGTGGGATGTAACCATTGTTAGATTGGCTATGTATAATTGTCTGTGGGCGTCTCCCTTGCATGGGAGAATTGCATAAAAGCAGAGTGTGTGTCATTAAACCAGAGTTGTTCTTCACCCTCAATCTAGAGTCCTGTCTCTTATTGGGGGAATTGCTATATCACTACAAGGGATTGCTATACTCTGCATACTCCCTTAGCTAATCACTACTAAGCTCTTTTAAGAGCTTGTTCCTGCTTCACTCTCTTGGAGGAGAGGTTCATCCACTGGAACCTGGAGCCTTGTCGTAGGTCCAGGGTGGGTAGGAGATGGCGCTACCCCAACCAAGCTGCGGCGGTTAGAGGGGTCTGCGGTGGTTGTGGTGTCTGCAGAGCGCTTGGAGCCTTCTGTAAGCATTAGGAGCATCCTTCAACGGAGGTACCCAGTCGGGGTGCCAGGTGATCCGTTACAGCCAACAAGCCTTATTAAAAGGTAGTAAATAATATTTTTAAAATAACTAACATAATATGAATATTTTATAAGGGGGTGTGAACTATTAATCTTAAGTATAAAAAGTCACAAGATGAAAATAGAATATACGCATATTAAAGCACATTGAAACACGCTTCATGTTGGACATGCATTACTACTCTGTTTTTGGAAGTCTTTTGAGTGCTGCCAATTATTGTGTGTGTAATATTACATACATACATACATACATACATACATACATACATACATACATACACTCACACTCTGCTTTTTGAGTTAAAATGCACAACTCGTGGTATGCATACCCCAAGGGGGTAAATCCAACGTAGCCCCTGCAAATTAGATAGCATGGGTGTAAATTGCATTTGGGAGATGACACTTGATTTTACAACCCAAGTAAAATCAAGACTGAAATTCTAAAATATAGGTATGGACTGAGATAGTCAGAACAAAAAAAACAAAACAAAAAAAAAAAACAAAAACAAAAAAACAATACATAGGTGTGTGTCATTAACAGTACATTTAACACCAAAAATAAAATGTACAATGTCCTACAAACGTACTGCTTTTGATGCCTGTTGTATAAGAAATTACTTGGTTTAACATCTCGATGGACAATGCCAAACTCATGAATACGTCGGAGTGCTTTAAACAGATTAAACATGTATTCTTTTGCTTCCTCAAAACTCAGATAATGCAAAATATCCTGTTTGGGAAAAAAAAAAAAAAAAGAGGAAAAATAAACTTGGACAAGGAAGAAAAAAAAAGATATATACACACAACCAGAAAAACTACCCAAATTGCACATTTTTTTTTTAAAAAAAAAAAGAAATCTTAATTTATTAATTTGCTTTCTGCTAAACAAACAAAGCAAACCTAAACAACTTTAATAGAAAATACACAATTTCAGAAATATATAAAGTTGATTTATCAATTTCAAAACATGTTGAGAACAACGTGAGAATCAAATAAGCATTACATTGTTTGCCTATACTATTTTCTAGAGAAACCACCACTAGAATAACAAACAATTCACATTTGATGAATTCAGTCACAAAATAGATAAAACAGGAATACATACGATGCCACAATACTATTTAAGCATAACTGGTACGTTTTAGAGAATTTGTTTGGGAGTGCTTACCACAAAACATTCATGTTCCAGATAAGGCATAACAATAACAACATGGTCATTATTTCTGAAACAGTACTTGACTCCCATTACATTGTCTTCACCTCTTGAGGGAAAAGAAAGCACACGTAAATATTTTAAGAAAATGAAAGACTTATGTGCATTACTCATGCATAAAGAAAAAAAGTGTTAAACAAAATTACTATTTATGAATTTCTCTTTTGCAGAGAATTATTAGGCTTTGCACATTCTCAGGTGACATTTTGTTAAACCAAATATCTCTTACCCAATCCTGGTTTCCTCACAAGCTTTAAATGAAGAGCTGGGGTTTATGCATAACACAACAATACATGATGGTCTAGTTTACAGAAGCTCCAATTCATGTGAACCAATGGATATATTTTCTGTTAATCTTTAAATTAAGACTGGCTCTACTGTGCATGCTTCTCTACATCTCTCAATAGGAGCCCTGTACATGTTCCTGAATGCCTCTCACTATTTCCTGTTGGCGTAATCTGAAACACTGTCTCATGAAAGGGAAGATAACTTCTCTGGAATGTACACCATTGAATAAAACATTGAATAATCAACATACCGTATATACTCGAGTATAAGCAGAGTTTTTCTGCACATTTTTTGTGCTGAAAAACCCCCACTCGGCTTATACTCTAGTCAGTCTGTATTGTGGCAATTAAATTGCCACAATACAGACCAGGACCGCCGGGCTCATTACAAGCCCGGCGGTCCTGTTGGGGGCTGGCAGCGAGCTGTTCCTTACCTTCCTGCAGCACCTGTCAGCTCCCTTCTCCTCTGTGCAGCTCCGTTCTGCTTACAGTGTAAGTCTCGCGAGACTTACACTGTAAGCAGAACGGCGCTGCACGGAGGAGAAGGGAGCTGACAGGAGCTGCAGGAAGGTAAGTAACAGCTCTCTGTCAGCCCCCCCACTGAACAGCCAATGCCACTGGACCACCAGGGATTCAGTATTATTATTTTAATAATAAAATAATATTAAAATATTATAATATTAAAATAATTAATTATTTTAATAGTTGCATTTTTTTTAAAATTTTTTTTGTCCCCCCTCCCTGGCCAGGCAACAAGCAGGGAGGGGGTACAAAATAAAAAAATAATGCAAATATTAAAATAATATAATAAAATAATATAATATTAAAATATTATTTAAATATAATATTAAAATAAAAAAATTTAAATAAAAATGCCCTCCCCTCACCCAGTTTACACACACTGCACAAACACACAAACTGCATTCATTATATATACACACACAAACACACACTCTGCATTCATTCTATACACACACTGTAAATAAATATTCAATTAATGTAATTTTATTGGGATCTACCGGTAATTTTATTTAGAAATTTACCAGTAGCTGCTGCATTTCCCACCCTAGGCTTATACTCGAGTCAATAAGTTTTCCCAGTTTTTTGTGGTAAAATTAGGGGCCTCGGCTTATATTCGGGTCGGCTTATACTCAAGTATATACGGTAACTTGTGTTCAGCTCTTTTCATGAAATGCATTTTTGTTTAAATTTATATTGCAAACGTAAAGAAAATTACATCATAATGCAATTGAGACAATGCAAAACCAGGGGAAACATACAAAAAAACCATTTAATTCTGTAGCATTTATTTTAATATGCCGGTTTTGAACTTCATAGTACATATTACTCATAAAACAAATAAAACAGGCGTTTGTATGGGGCTGCAAACTTTTTGGCACATTAAAAATAGTGATTAAACATTTTAATTTCCCTTCTACTGCATGACATTAATACACATACCCAGCAACTGTAAGACATTCTAGTTCTGCAGCAATCCGTGTTGGGTGGCTTGTGGGGATTAAATGCTTCAGTGCAAATTTCATATCTTCTCCTGATTTTAATCTTGCAGTGGCCAAGTATACTGAACTAAATGTACCTGGAAATTAAGTTTACGTGAATTACACAGAATATAGAAATTGAACAGAATATTATTACAACCGCCTCCTCCCCAGATCTCTAACCCGCTTTTCTAGAGTGTCTCACAGTTGCCTTGCTTCCATCTTCAACTGGATGTACTCCTACTTTCTAAAATCAGAGCTTCTTATCTGCCCTCCTCATAAAATGAATCCTCTGGTGTCGATTCCTGCAAGTTGATGTTATGCTCATGAGCCTGTCTGTGTTTCTGGACTGACCGTTACACCTCACGTCTAAATCTGTTGCCAAATCCTGCCAATTCCATCTTAAAAAACCAATGCCTGGATCTGCCCCTTTATTAGATGCTACAAAAGAGTTTTAAGTTTTTTTTTATTATCGTAATTGGCCTCTTCAGACACTATACTACTTCTCTACAGTCCGTATTGAAAGCTAGGGTTCATTTTTTATTTCTGTGCTGCTAAATGGTCTTAAGGCAACTGAGTGGGAGGAGGAAGAGAGCTATAGTGCCAGGAATAGATGTTTGTATTCCTGGCACTTACAGTATCCCTTTAAAATGCTATGCAGAACTTGAAAACCATTATTTTTTAATTTCTCAAAAACTTTTTTTTTTTTTAGATTTTATTAAATTATGTTTCATTTATAAATATTTGATGTGAAATGAAAGCCCTGTTTCTCCTGAACAAAATGTATATAACATGTGTGTGCACGTAATATGAAAAAGAGGTAAATTATAATTGAACAGACATATAGATCAAATTCTAGGAGTTTACGTTTTGACCAGAAAGTACACAACTGCCTCCGCCCATTACCACTTCACGACGCATGATGAAAATTGTCCGCCATGCATGTCCTACCCTTAAGGACACACGATGAAAAATTTCCGTCATCTACTAAAGTTACACTACAAACAGCATAACCACTATGTACCCAATATAAGTAGTCAAACCATATGGTATGGTGGTACAAGTCTTGGCTCGTTGGATAAGAGCAATAAGCTGATGTTCTCAGCACCAGAAAGAGAGCCAAACCTGTCCATTCTAAAACAGTTTTACAAATTACGCTTGACAACAAAACCACAATAGTGTGATCTAGTAATTAACGTGTTTGGAGTGTTGCTTTAAAAAGGAAAAAGGCAACAATTTCAGTGGAACATATTGGGTATGCTTTAGGTCAAGAATGTCAAACTCAAAGGGTAACAAGCGCCAAATAAACAAGGTTTAAAGGGACTCTCCAGTGCCAGGAAAACAAATCCGTTTTCCTGGCACTGCAGAATCCTGCAGTGCCCCCCTCCCTACCACCCTCCAACCCATGTTGCTGAAGGAGTTAAAACCCCTTCAGTGACTTACCTGAATCCAACACTGATGAACCATTATTCAATTATTTCCTATGGGGAGTCCGGCGACGCTGGTGGTTCTCATGCATAGCGTGCGGACGTCCGGCGTTGTTTAAAACACTTTTTGTGTTTTAAGAACTTGGAAGTCCTTCACCTTCTCTACACACACTAAGAAAACCAGAAACCCCAAAACCTCATCACAATACCCTGCCCTTTAACCTCACTTACCAACGTTCAGTGTGCATTCTGGAACGCTCGCTCCGTCTGCAGTAATTTAAAATCAACAGCCATACACAACTTTTTCATCTCAAACTCACTCACACTACTTGCACTTACAGATACCGGGCTGTCCCCCCCCCCGATAGCACTACTCTTGCCTCTTTATGTTTGGGTGGGCTACAATTCTCTCACACTCCCAGACTCAACTGTAAAGGAGGTGGTGCATCATAATCTCTCCAATATTCCTTTTCCTCTATCTGACCACAATCTGCTGACTTTTGACATCGTCATACCCAAGACGTAATTGACACCACCGTCTGAACATCAGTCTCACATAAACCTCCAATGTCTTGACCTAGAGCATTTCTCCACTAACCTCCAAACTCTCCTTTTACCCATTTCCCCCCCTTTCCGTCCCTGTCCATCTCTCCCCTTTCCCATGTCTGTCATCTCTCCCCTTCCGTCCTGTCCATCTCTCTCTCCCCTCGTCATCTTCCCCTTCCGTCCCTGCCCCGTCCATCTCCCCCCGTCCCTCCATCTTCCCCTTCCGGTCCGCCCTGTCCATCTCTCCCTTCCGTCCCCTGTCCTCCCCCTCTTCTCCTCCTCTTCCATCATCCAATGTTCTCCTCCCTCTCTATATCTCCATGTCTCTCCCTCCTTCTCTCCCTCCTCCCTCCTATCATATCCTAGCTCTTCATACTCCCTCCTTTTCTATTTTCAGGCAATCTCACAGATGCTCTGCTCTATAGCGATATGCTCCCCCCCCCCTCCCCCCTTCCGTTTTACCTGACGGGGAGGGGGACTTCTCAATCTCCGGCGGCACGCTGACAGACTGAGCGCCAGGTAGTCATATGCGCTTCCCCTCCAAGTTTACAGTGCGTGTGGTTCCCTTATGAAGCCGCACGCTGCCTGGGGGCACAAAAATCACTTGTCAATCTGACAAATGAATTTTGCGCCCCTTCGACCGGCAACCCTGATTGACTGGGCTGCAAAGAAGTTCATTGTGGGCAGCATGCGGCCCACGAGATTGACATGCATGATTTAGATTTATGTGGGCTTTTAAATGCATGATCACTTACACATGCTAAAACTTTATCTTTACTTACCTTCCCCAATTTTCTGCATAATGCAAAAGATGTCACAAAGTCGAGGTACAGCAGCATATAGTTTTTCAATTTCTTCTGTGGACCAAAGATATCTGGTTACTCATCAAACAACAAAACCACTTTAAAAAAAAAAAAAATCAAACAGTCCAATTCTAATTTTTTTTTTTTTTGTACTCAAACATGAAAATCCATTTATAAGCAGCATATGGCTTGGCAGATTTCTATATGCTGGAATTGAAAATGAGGTCTGTGTCTTAGTAGCTGGAGCAAATGTAATTCTTTTTTTCCCTTTTTACAATGTATTAATAATTTGAACAAATGGAAGGTAAGCCAAAATAGCATTTCATTAAAGGGTTATCCAACCATCATAACCCCTTTAGTGATTTTAAGTGGTCATGGTGGTTGGAGTCAGGATGTGCAGTGTTTCTCCTTGAAATACTACACATACATTGTTAGTTTTAGTTGTGTGCTGGGTGTTACTTGCACCTCTAGCACTTGTGACATTGGCAGCTCAGAACTCTGTTCTGGGCTGCCTAATGTGAATTCTGTGCATAGTTTGTGTCTGTAGTCAGCTCACACATATGATAGTTTTCCTCTCCCTCCCTGTGTGTGTTCCACCAACTTCTTGTATTGCTTTTTTAATAATGTAATTATTAAATTATCATCCTGACTCCCCTCACCAGTTCAGATTGTGCGCGTGCACCCTGAGCAGTCGTTGATTGGCCCATGTGAGGCTCATATGGCGTCAGACAAAGGTGTGGAAGTCAGCGCAGTGAGTTTCGCAGGGTGCTGTATTCCAGATGAGTAAATGTTTAATTTATTTAAGGGTTTGGTGCAAATGGATGCAAGGACCTAGTTCACAGTGCCCAATAGGTCAGATTAGATCAAAAAGGTCCCCTCCTCCTTAAAATAATTAGAGTAACCCTTAGTGCACTATAGTAGTGAAGGTGTCAGGAGTGCCCTGGGACCCTCCCGTCCCCCAGTCCATTAAGTACCTATACCGGTAGTCTACTGGGTGCCGCAACACACCTCTGCTCTGTCAAAAGGAGAACCAGATGCTCCTATGCAGGGTTAGCTCACTGGCAGAGTCGGCTGATCGCTGCTAGCCAATGCGCTGATCGCCGCGCTGTGAGATGACGTGTGAAGCGGCACCTGGCAGACCCCAGGTAAGCAACCTATTGAAACTGGCTTTTTTTTCTTCTTTCCATAAATAGTCACAAATATGACAAATAGTGCTTTGTGTGTCTGGGTGTCTCTTTGAACTACTCGCAAATTGTTCAACGCTGAATGCAGTGTACGCACCAGGGGGTCTCCGGACACTATAACCACTTCAATGACATGAAATGTTTATACTGTGTACAATGTTCCTGCAGTGGTTATAGTGATTGGGGTTTTCCTTTAACCCCTTAAGGACCAAACTTCTGGAATAAAAGGGAATCATGACATGTCACACGTCATGTGTCCTTAAGGGGTTAATAAAAAATATGTAAACTTGCTAGCATTTCTGCCAGCATAACCTACAGGTAAAAGGTTTTGACAAGTACACTTTGAGAGCCCCCAAGTTATGGAACAAAATATTTTAATTCCATGCACTAGCAGCCTAAAGCTACAGCCTCTCTGCACAATACTCAGTCCCTCAGGCCGTCCTCGTGTAACCATTCATCCTCCTTTCTAACCTAGTCTGGCTTTATACACACTCGGTGCTGTTTACCTGCATTGTCCCCGGAACTCATTTTCCTGTCAGAACCCGAGCTGGCATGAAATGGCGCCAAAAACGACTCCGCTCTCACGGCGCTCGGTATGAGCCGAGGGCGGGGCCAGCCGGATCCTCGAAGCGGTAATTGGGTGCTGGCTGAGTGACGTGCGCAAGGACCAATGGGATACAGCCAAGGAACGCATTCTGTGCAGCTGATTGGTTGAACGGCTGTAGCCGTTGTGGTACACATCACCTATTCAGCAGCAGCAGCAGTAGTAGTGTGTGTGTGAGGACAGCTGTTGGTCCTGTGAGTGGTGGGTGTGATTGGGGCAGGGTCTGTATGTACACTCAGCTGAATCTAGTGACCCTGTGTTTTCGGTTTCCTTACAGAAAGGTATTTTTTTTTTTTTTTAAATTAAATTAAATTAAAGTGAAGCAATAGCTGTATCGATAATGTTATCATTAAGAGCTCCCTTCAGTCAAATACCACCTAATGGGAGTTTTGGATTAGTTATATTTACTGTCTATAAAGCCAGAGATGTGCAAGGAAAGTTTACATGTGACCACTTCAGGACCAGGGTTAAAGCATAGCCACTGCTTCTGGAACTATTTTGTCATGTCATTGGTTATGGGATTGTACGACAGTGGTTATGGTGTCAGTAGTGCCCTCGCACACGTAGCTATTGTTACTGTAGTGTTATGGTATCGGACAGCAGTGGTTATGGTGCCAAGAGTGCCCTGGCATCCTTCCTTTTGACTTCTTCCCTGTGGGATGCAGCTCCTTGCCTGCACTACTACTCCATGAGACCCGGAAACTCACAGTTTCACGGTTTCGCTAACTGGCGGAGGGCGATCAGTTGACACTCTCAGTCAATGCGATAGCTTCCTTGCTCTAAACCCTGCACTGCAGAGTTTAGAGCAAGGGAGCTATCGGAAACTTGTACGACACAGTGGGGGATATATTATCAGAGTGTCACCAACATTTCTCAGTTTTATTTCAGTTTTTGGCAAATTTGTGGCACAGTTTATAAAACCTGTTATAACGCATTAACCGTTATTTTTGAATGCACACTATTTTTGCACAGCCGCAAAAGATTCAAAAATTCTATTTATTTTTTTCTGATAGACATACATACATACATACATGTGATGAAAAATAACAACCTAGGTTGGTATGAATATTCCAGGAGCTGGTCCACCTAAGATGGCTATTGGTGTAATAACACCTAGTAAAATTGGATATAAAGAATAAAAATTAAAATTGATTAAAAAATACGGTAGTGGCGGAAATAAACTAAAATGGACTCCAGTATTTCAGAAAAGGTGCAGCAATCATGTGTGGTGTGTACACCTTTAAATCTGCTATAGGCAGGATAAATGGAGTATACACCAAGTGTTATACTTTGCAAATAAAGATATAGGACATATAAAATGGGGAAACAGTATATGGAACTGTTCTCTCTAATGGTAAAAATTTTTTTACCATACTACCGTATTTTTAATCAATTTAAATTTTTATTCTTTATATCCAATTTTACTAGGTGTTATTACACCAATAGCCATCTTAGGTGGACCAGCTCCTGGAATATTCATACCAACCTAGGTTGTTATTTTTCATCACATTTTTCTAAGACAGGTTTTTGGTGAACTCCTGTGTTTATCCAGTTTTGAGCAATTCATCACAAGTCAGACTCCCTCATTCCTGTGTGTTGCAATAGGCATACCAGACCATTTCATACATACATACATACATGCTCCACCCCATTATACATCAACTCATATATATATATATATATATATATATATATATATATATATTAAAAAAACAATGATTTTCTCACCCCTCCAGGATGGTATGTTTATTCCTTATTTTCAGGTCCTCTATCAGAGACCTGGAAGTTTGAGGGTTCTGTGCAGTATCTTAGCTGTTCCTAGAACTGCACTCCTCTGAACAGCGATCTCAGATGTCCCACCTGGTATCTGTTAAAGCCACTCCCCTAACTTGGGAGTCACAGCCCAGAGTGCTCCTATCACAACCGGGACTACTACTGCCTTCACTTTCCACATCCTTTCTAGTTCTTCTTTCAGTCCTTGGTATTTGTCCACCTTCTCATGTTCCTTCTTCCTGATGTTATAGTCACTAGGTATTGCCACATCCACCACAACTGCAGTCTTTCGTTCCTTCTCTACCACCACGATGTCTGGTTGGTTGGCCAGCACTTGTCTCTCTGGATCTTGAAGTCCCACAGGATCTTAGCCCTGTCATTCTCATCTACCCTTTGTGGTATCACCCATCTAGACTTAGGCAGGTCTAAAACATATTCTGTGCAGATGTTTTGGTACACAATCCCAGCAACTTGGTTGTGTTTCTCTGTGTATGCTGTTCCTGCTAACATCTTGCATCCCGCTACTAGGTGCTGGACTGTCTCTTTGCACAGTCTGCACCTTGGGTCTTGCCTGGTGTGGTAGACTCCAGCTTCTATTGATCTGGTGCTGAGTGCCTGCTCCTGTGCTGCTAGGATTAGTGCCTCACTGCTGTCTTTCAGTCCTGCCTTTTCGAACCACTGGTAGAATTTTGTCATGTGAGCCACATCCACTGTCTTGCCAAGGATCTCCTCTTTTTCTGCATCCTCGATCTGTGGAAGTCTCAGGCTTGTATGTTTTTTGTATTCGGTGCCCATCCAGGTCCACCTGGCCATCACCTTTGCTGTATAACTTGTATAAAAGACGAGTGTGTGCCATTAAACTTTCTGTTCCTGTTTGACCCTCAACACGTAGTCTTGTCTCGTGATTGGAGGGGAACTGCTATAATCACACTTGGGATTGCTATACTTTGTATTCTCCCCTGGGCTTTAATCACTTAGCTCTTTTAAGAGCTGTTCTTGTTATGCTCTCCTGGAGGAGAGTTCTCCCCCACACTGTCCTGGATGTCGGAGGTTGATCCAGGGTGGAAGGAAGATGGCGAGATTCCAGTTAAGCTACGGCGGTTGTGGAGTCTGTGGTGGTTGTGGTGTCCGGTGCGGTGCTTATAGTCCTCAGCATCAGCTAGGAAGCATCTGTTAACGGAGGTACCTAGTCGGGATGTCAGGTGATCCGTTACAATAGATTTATACACGTTTTATAACTGTCCCCCTACTTTTGTCCCTGGCCCCTTAAAGCAGCACTGTCATGCTGAACTTACCTTTCCTCAATCTCTTCCTCTTCTCTCGGGATCTGTTCTTCTTTTCTTCCTGTCTTCTTTAGTTTTCTTTAAAATCATAAGACAAAGTAGGGAACTTAAGAAGTAGGCCTTAAGAAGGTTTCATCCGCTTGACCAGCTCTGACCAGCGGAGGAGCAAAGTGTGCTTCATTTCCGCTGGTCAGAGCAATTTTCCCATGATCCTTAGCTTTCCTCTGTGTTCCCGCGATGCTTCCTGTTATTTTAGACGAAACTGACAAATTGCGTTCTAACTGAATGAGAACAGTATGTTCGTTTCTTTTATTACTCAATTCGGCACTTTGTTCAGATCGCAATTTCATTCGAGTGAATGAAACTCCGATCCTATTAGTGCTGTGGCTGCATCTTGCAGCCGCTTAGTAGATAACTCCCTAATCCCACAGTATCAGGGAGTTATCTATTAAAAGGCTGAAAGACCTAAATTGGTCTTTCAGCCACATTTACTAATACTAAGTAAAAATTACTTAGTATTAGTAAATGCTGCCCCTATTGGCCCACACTCCTAAACAACGGGTGGGGACCCTAAAGTAAAATAAGGGGGGAGACCTATTGTCCCCCCCGGCCCTCACCCCTGCGCGGTGGGTGGGGGCCATAATGATAGTAGTTTCCCCACCCCTGGGCGGTGGGTGGGGGCCATAATGATAATGAGGGGGTGGGGACCTACTGTCCTCCCCCCCCCCCGGCCCCCACTCCTGGGCGGCGGGTGGGGGCCATAATGATAATAAGGGGGGGGGACCTACTGTCCTCCCCCCACCCCTGGACGGCGGGTGGGGGCCCTAAGTCAAATCCCCCCCCCCCCATCAAAGGTGACTAGGGGTCCCCAAGCCCCTATTCACCCACCCAAATAAAAAATAGTGAGGGGGAAATAAAATTACTAACCTGTAAAGTAAAATTAAACTTGCCATTCGACGTCTTCTTTTTTCTAAAATCTTCATTTTTCAGCCACAAAAAAGGCCAAATAAAAAAACCATCATACCCGTCGAACTTAAAATAAAATAAAAAACCCGAGCGCAAAGAAAAAAAACCTGACGAAAAAGAAAAAACCCGAGCGCAAAAAAATAATCCATCTTCACCCATGGAGGGCTCCGCGCAGACTGAGCTCCGCAGGGCGGGGGAAGGCTTATAAAGCCTTGCCCCGCCCTAAAGTTAGGCTAGGAACATTCTGATTGGTGGGTTTAAGCCAATGAGAGTGCTCTTTGTCATTTTACACAGCGTGGGAATATTCCAAAGAACTTTCCCACGCTGTGTAAAATGACACAGAGCACTGTGATTGGATGGGTTGAAATCCATCCAGTAGGTCCCCCCCCTCATTATCACTATGGCCCCCACCCGCCGCCCAGGGGGGGAGGACAGTAGGCCCCCCCCTCATCATTATGGCCCCCACCCGCCGCCCAGGGGGGGAGGACAGTGGGCCGCCGCCCAGGGGTGGGGGCATGGGGGGAAAGGACAGTAGGCCCCCTATTATCATTATGGCCCCCACCTGCCTCTCAGGGGTGGGGGCCGGGGGGGGAAGACAGTAGGTCCCCCCCCTCATTATCACTATGGCCACCACCCGCCGTCCAGGGGTGGGGGCCTGGGGCGAAGGACAGTAGGTCCCCCACCCGCCGCCCAGGGTTGGGGGCGGACAGTATGTCCCGTCCCCCCATTGTAATTCATGGCCCCCACCCGCTGCGCAGGGATGGGGGCAGGATAGTATTTTTAATTTTTATTTTTTTTACAGTGAGCAGTTTAGTGGACATGCCCCTACTCGCGATATAGCGAGTAGGGGCATTGGGGAGATTTTAATCTCCCTTATGCTGTTATGGGGGTCATATTGACCCCCATGGAGTGAGGGGGGACCTGGGGGGCTTATGAAGTGGCGGGGAGCACAGCTCCCTGCCGCTTCTATCTTTACATATTACAAGGAGG